GTCTGGACCCTTCTTCAGAAATGGGGGAGGGGAAGGGGACTCTGAAATAAATAGGGAGAGGGGGTGAGGCGGTGATAGGAGGTGGATAGAGGAGCAAATAGGTGGAGAGAAGATGGACAGGTCAAGGAGGCGGGGATGGAGCCAGTAAAGGTGACTATAGGTAAAGAGTTGGGATGGGGGTTGGTCAGTGAATCCCCACCCCCATTTCCTACCTACTAGCTTCATCCCCGCCTCTTGACCTGTCCGCCTTCCCTCCCACCCATCTGCTCCTCAGTCCACCTTCCATCATCGCCTCCCCCTATCTCTATTTATTTAGATACTTGGGAAACTTGATTGGCATGGACGAGTTGGACTGAAGGATCTGTTTCCATGCTGTAAGATTCCATGACTCTAAATCTGATTCTTTCAAATTTATTTAGTGAATGAAAAGGGGTTTGAAAAGAAAGTAGAGAGAACTTGCTATTCCTGTCTAAGGCATTGGTGAAGTTGTATCGAAAGTAGTGTGCGCAGTATTTCTCCTTAAATGAAGAGATGAAATTGGATGGAAGTCAGTTCAGAGGTAGTTCACCAGGTTGATTTCCTGGATGGAAGGGGTTGTCAAGTGCAGAAAGAGCAGGTTGGATCAGTACTTGAAGTTTAGACGAGTGTTGATCTTGAAATATCTGACGTTCTGAGATAGGTGCTGAGAGGATGTTGCCTTTTATGTTGGTTTCTGGATCGGAGTGTTTGTGGTGAATAGTTTCTGCAGCATTATTAATGAGGGTAAAATGGTTGAATCTTTATTTTGGTATTTCTAATACGACTGTGTCAATTAGTTCTCATGTAGTGTAATATAGAGTCTTTTAATCTTTTTGCGTGCACACTATTTTTGTTCTTGCATTAAAAATGCACTGTTCGCCTCTTGAAGATATGTTCATTGACTGGCAGGTAATTAAATTGCAAATATAACACTTGACTATCAAGACAGATTTCACTCTGCAATTGAAAATGTCCAGTATACCATCAGCTGAGATCATACAAGAATACACCTGTAAAATTGCAGCAAAATATTACCACACTTGTTACTTATGTGCTAGATTTTGGACAGGATTCCTGTGCTGCCATTCAAAATTTATCATCTTCAATACTTATTGTCAGGACATGGCACTTTATCCATTTAGCTCCTTGCTGATCCTTCGGTGTCCTGACAACTCGGTGGCTTGCCAGTCCATTTTAAAGGGAAATCCAGAATCAAACACATTACAGTGGAACTGGAATTTCTCAAGTCTAATTATGTATGCATAGCAGGTTTCCTTTGCTAACAGTTATTCCTAATTTCCAGCTGCTTAATGATCACTTTCACAGATTTCTATTTGAACTGAATTCAAATTCACAAACAAACATGGTGAGATGGTAACTAGTGTTTTCTGGTTAGTAGTTTAGAAATGTAACTGCAAAACTAATGTACCTATAATCTAAATGAGCGTTATGTTAGTAGTGACAGCATTCATCTTGATGAGCAAGAACAAGTACACCAGAAGATGGGAGTGGGGTGGGGGGGTTGGGCGGGGCAGGTTGGTGGCGGTGTGATGGCAGTGGAAAACCAAGCTTTGTGGATGTTAGTATCGTGGTAAATCAAGACTTTTTACTGTGTTTGTACATTGTGAACTCAGTGCCAGTATCTGATTTAGGTTGATGTATATTTCCTTGAGCAGCAATCATATTTAGCTTAAAAATTATGGAGTATTTGGAACAGGAGGAGAGGATGTGGAGGTGGTTTTACAGATAACATTAAATGCTATTGGGAAGGAAACTGTTCTTGCACAGTTTTTGCATTTCAAGATAATGACTGAATATTTATTGAGAGACTTTTTTTTGTGAATTTTGTTGAATGCAAGTGGAAATGACTGGAAGACACATATCAGGGCTTTCCTTTCTTCCATATCACCAGTGGCAAAAGCAACCTGATGTCACAGGAGATGTGAAGTGATCTGAACTAATGGTTTCCCCTAGCTGAGGGTAGGTTTTACTCTTGGCATATTTGGAAGCATGTAAGCTAAAAAGTATTGAAAAGCATTCAATGTCAGTGTTTCCAGTAATGTATTTGAATAAAGAGAACAGGAATTCATTTTTAAACAAGAGTAGTCTTCGTGCTGTGAAGGATATCTGAATCTGTGTCTTGCCATTAAATACTGATAAGTCCATGTAAAAGACTAAAGGTCTTCTAGATTTTACTGGACGAGGTATAAAATTTGTATGCAAAGTGTTGGCCTGCGAGCATTCAGAATCAAATTAAGGCTTTCAAGAAGGTATAATTAAGAAATACAAGTATGATGAAATGTTGAAATTTTAGGCATCCAGTGAAAGGTTATTGAAATAAAAACTTAATCTATCCTTGTGTCTGAATCTTTTGTAGTGTTTCACAAATTTTGTATTTTAATTACAAATGTTCAGCATGTGCAGTTTGAAAACCTGGGGCTTTTCGTTACAGTATTGTTGAATATGGGACCAATTTGGTGGTTCCAGAAGCTTTTAAAATTGAAATATGAAACCCTTGTTAGACACAGCCAAACTAAATGTGCGTATACTGGCTTTAATACTAATAATCCCCTCTTTAAATAGAGCGGAAGGAGTGACGTGCAGCTTGATGTTTGATTGACAACTGGTAATGAATCCTTTGGGATACTTTGTAGTCTATTTGCTCTTCATGTTCATCTCCATGTCAGCATTACGTTTTAGCTCTTCTGGGAGATGACAAAAGCTTTGCTTGCCTTTACGAATTCTGGTATTTACAGAGTCTGAAGTCACATGGCACCATGTTATAGTCCGACAGGTTTATTTGAAATCACAAGCTTTGAGAGCATAGCCCCTTTGTCAGGTGAAGTGAGAAAGAAGCACACAGAATATATGGGCAGAGAAATCAAAAGACCATACAAATGGTGACTGGAATGCCGAATAATAAGTTCCTGTAGGTGATCCAGGGTGTCAGATGGTGTGAGTAAAGTGTCAACAGCTGAATAACAGGTGAATGGATGACATATAATCCGATTGAATGAGGCAGGGAGTTAATTACAAAAAAGTAAAAATGAGGTGGTGCTGGAGACAAACAAAATGACTGGAACAACATGATAGATATGAGTCGCATGCAAAGGGCCTAACCTAAGTCACCAAACTGTACAGATTACTTAAGTTAGATAGATCGTAACAATTTATCCAGGTGATGATGACAAAACTGGAAGATTTTACAGATACAGAACAGTGTGGTGGGGGTCACATGTAATGCGGCATGAACCCAAGATCACAGTTGAGACCATCTTCATGGGTATGGAGCTTGACTATCAGTTTCTGCTTATCGATTCTGCGTTGCTATGTATCTCGAAGGCTGCCTTGGAGGACGCTTACCCGAAGATTAGAGACTGAATATTCTTGATGGCTGAAGTGTTCCCTGACATTTGCTGTTCACAATGTGGTCTCCTCTATATTGGGGATATGAAGCCTAGACTGGGTGACCACTTTCCAGAACACCAACGTTCTGCCTGCAAAAATGACCCTAACCTTCCAATTGCCTGCCACTTCAACACACCACCCTGTTCCCTGGCTAATTTCTCTGCCTCAGGTTTGCTACAGTGCTCCAGCGAAGTTCAGCGTAAGCTGGAAGAACAACACCTCATTTTCTGCTTGGGGACCCTGCAGTCTTCTGGACTTGATTTTGGAGTTCAATAACTTTAGGGTTTGAACTCTGCCCTAGCCCCAACCCCAAACACCAGGCCTTGTTATCACATAGTCTGCTGTTAGACACAATCTATGGTTAGCCACTAAAAGTCTTAATTAATGGCTGTTCACTGTCCTAATCAGATTGTTATCCACTCCTTTGTCTATCCAACTGTTCTTTGGGGGATGGGTCTGGGTGGGATGATCTGTGTGTTGGTGTGGGCTTGTTGGGCCGAAGGGCCTGTTTCCGCTCTGTAGGGGTTCTATGATTCTCTCTCTTTTGGGTTCTCTCCTCACCTATTGTTCACTCCTTACCTCCTCTCCCCACTCAATCTTCTGCATAAAACTGACATTTTCCTAGCTACCATCAGTTCTGGGGAAGGGTCACTGGACGCAAAGTGTTAACTCTGATTTCTCTTCACAGATGCTGCCAGATCTGCTGAGCTTTTCCAGCAATATCTGTTTTTGTTTCTGATTTACAGCATCTACAGTTTGTTTTTTTTAAACATGTAAAAATATATTTGTTCCCTTAAGTATATATTTATAATAATTACTATTTGGAAAATAATGGCCTTGCAGTTACTGTCCTTGAAGTAGAACATTTGAGGAGATAAATATTTGGTTCAACAACAGAAATTGCTGGAGAAACTCACCACGTCTGGCAGCACCTAGTAAGCTTCAGGAGGAGGGTCTCTGGGCCCAAAATGTTAACTCTGCCTTCTCTCCATAGATGCTGCCAGACCCACTGAGTTTCTGTAGCAATTTCTGTATTGTTGAAGATTTCCAGCATCTGTGTTCTTTGTTTTATTATGAATATTTGGCTGTCTCCTCTTCAAGCCCTCCTATCAATATGCACATTGCACAAGATAGTGATCATGTGTAAGCCTTCTTTCAGCACAAATTGAACAATAGAATTTGAACATTATTGCTATATTGATGCCTTTGAATCTCCTGTTTCAGCATTGGTATATTGTCCTTGACATGAAGCGAACACTTTCAAATTCTGATATCAAACTATGGTTTCTCTCTATATGCTTTTGGACTTGAGCAATTAAGCATTGGCCATTTGGTTTTGTCTGTATGAACCCAGAGCTTTAAGAGTATTTAAATCTTCCATGTAGTCTGTGAGCTATTTACGATAATAGTCTGTAGCCTCCAGTGCTTACTGATCTGCTACATTGCCCAACTCTAAGGTGCAGTAACATGTACACGAGTATTGCACATTGTTAATAGCTTATCTTGTTGTGTAACTTCTACAGGAATGCTAAAACTATTTAAAGAAAATTGATTTGTTTTTTTTTTCCTTACAGAACCAATTATTAACAGATTAAACAGAAGGGTTTCAGGTAAGCCTTTTCTTGCACATTTTTAAACTTTTTTCACACCAGATTGGATTTGCATTACAGAGATTTTGGATTAAGCCTAATTTATCTAATTTGAATTTATTCCTGAAGAGAATTCATGTCATAATATGAGCATTATAATTGAATTTATAAATGATGGCAGAATTACTGAAGAACAAGAGTAATTTGGAGGAGAGCATAAAGAAAATTTAGTAGTTGGCTGTAGCTGAATTTTTATCTCCTATCGCTTTTACACGTTTATGGAGAAAAGTTGTATTCTGACCATAGTATGATTTATTAACTTGCTCTTAAAATTCAGCAAGTATGCAATTACATCTGCATTTTTGAAGTACTTGATGTGCTAATATTTAATCCTATGTTTATTGAGATATTTGTTGTTTGCTTTCGTGTAGATACAGGCCTTTTCTGTCAAATTTTTTTGTCAAATCTCCTGAAATTTGGGACGCATCATTGAGTTAGTGTGTTAGAATTTTCTCCTCCAGTTAGTTATTGAGTTGTCCATCACCCTTCACTGCTGGAAATGGCAGATCTACAAGAGCTTTAGTCTGATCTGTTGATTGAAATTACTTAGTTCTGTCTGTAGTATGCTGCTTCCACTCTTTAGCATGCTTATAGTCCTCTATTGTAACTTCAGTAGGTTGGCACTTTTTTGGTATGCCTGGTGCAGCTCCTGGCATGCTGCCCTTCTCATTGGATCAGGTTTGATCACTATGGTAATGGTGCAGTAAAGGATATACCAGATCATGAGGGGCAATAGCTTCTCAACGACACAATTTTGAGCTTGTACGTCAGTCTCATTTTGCCAGTTGATACTGCTAAGCAACAAGATTGAGGATGTCCTCGGAGTGATGACAAGCATTCTGTCTCCGCGAGAGCTGTCGGTGCTCATTTCTATCAATACTGCCATAGACAGATGTGCCTGTAATAAGTAGGTTAGTGAGGATGAGATCAAGTTTTTTTTTTTTTTGACATTTCTTGTTCATTCTTTCACCACTTGCTGCAGATCCAATCTGGAAGATCACTCTCCAAGACTTGGCCAGCTGTTCAGCAGTGTTGTTATTAAGCCACAGTGACAATGGGCATTGAAGTCCCCCATCTGGAATACACACTACACCCTTGCCACTCTTATTTTCCAAGCAATGTTTAATGTAGAGAAGCACAGATTCATCAGATGAAGGATTGCACAAGGTGATAATCCCTGGAAACCTCCTTTTCTGATGCCATGAAACTTCATGAGGTCTGAGTCAATGTTGAAATACCCCAGAGCCATTCCATTCGGACTATTTAACTCCGGTATCATCTCTGGTAATAAATTGTTTTAAATGGCAGAACAGGTTCGAGGGGCTGAATTGTCTCTGCTGCTCTTAGTTCTTAGCTCTGCCTTAGCCATTTTCTGAGACAGTGTTCCAATGTCTCACAATCATGAGAGAATTTTTTTCCCTCATTTTTGCCCCTAACACTGAAACAGCACCTGCTAAATCTGGAGTGGCCTGCAAGAGGAAACTTTCTATCTTCATATTGTCAAGGTGGATTTTATATGATTTTTTTCAAAACTGCAGAGAGTCTAATCAAGCCAAACTTTCCTCATAAGACAGACCAGTCATTTGAGATATCATTCTAGTAAGACCGCCTCTGAACCACTTCCAATCCATTTGCATCCTTCTTTAAATAAGGATACCAAACTAAAATAATATTTGCGATGTGGCCTCACCAATGCCCTGTAAAACTGAAGCCTTTACTTGTATGTTCAGTTCTTTTTGAGTAAAGGTCAGCATTTCATTAGTTATCTTAATTTTAATTGCTTACAGTGCAGGTCAATGATTTAATATAGTTTGGTATTTGTTGGTCAGCCCAGAAATGGTGGGCCAAAGGCCTTTTGCTATGCTGTATGACTCTATAGCTCTACTCTCGAACTGACCTTTTGTGACTCATGCACTATCATGCCGCAATTCCTCTGCACCTTGGAATTCTGCAGTTGTTTTCTGTTTAATAAGCCTACCTGCCAAAGTGAACAACTTTACATTTTTTCACATGGTGCTCCATCTGTTATATTTTTGACACTCACTAAACGTATCAGCCTGCATTCTTCTTGTGTCCTCTTCAGAATATACTTTCCTACCTTCTTTGTATCACCTGCTAATTTACCATCTATACTTTTGCTTGCCTTATGTAAACCAAAGATATAAATTCTTTACAGTTGAGGCCACAACACAGACCACAGTGGGGCTCCATTTATTACAATCCTACCAATCAGAAAAAGATCCATTTATGCATGTTCTTTTTACCCTGCTAGCCAGTCAATCTTCTATCCTATTAATATGTTACCTCTACACAGAGCTCCTATTGTGACACAATAACCTTTAATGAACAAAGAACAGTACAGCACAGGAACAGGCCCACCATGCCTGCACCGACACATCCCTTTCTAAACTAAAATTCTTTGGCTTCTATGCGGTCCATATCCCCCTCTTCCCTGCTTGTTCATGTATCTGTCAAGATGCCTTTTAAAGTTTGCTGTTGTACTTGCTTCTACCACAACCTCTGGCAACTCGTTCAAGGCACTTGTCACCATCTGTGTTTTACAAAAAAAAACTGCCTCTCACATCTCCTTTAAACTTTATCTCTTTTTACTGTTAACCAACGCCCCCTAGTAATTGACATTTCTACTGTGGGCGAAAGACTCTGACTGTCCATGCCCCTCATGATTTTGCAAATTGCTATCAGGTTGCCTCTCAGCCGCCAATGTTCAAGTGAAAACAAACCAAGTTTGTCCAATCTCTCTCATCACTAAAACCCTTCAAACCAAGCAACATCCTGTTAAACTTTTTCTGTGTCCTTTCCAAACACTGGTTGTGTGGTGACCAGAACTATGTGCAATATCCCAAATGTGGCCTAACTAAAGTTGTATATGGCTGCAAGATGACTTGCCAGTTTTTATATGCTGTGCCCTGACTGATGAAGGCAAGTGTGCCATATGCCTTCTTGATCATCTTATCCTTTGTGTTACCACTTTCAGGGAACAATGGACCTGTATGCCTTGATCCCTCTGTATGTTAATGCTACTAAGGGTTCTGCCATTTACTGTAAATTTCCCAGTTGCATAAGACCTTTCAAACTGCATCATCTTGCATTTGTCCAGATTAAATTCCATCTGTCATTTCTGTGCTCAAGTCTCCAACCTATTTATATCCTGCTGTGTCCTTTGGCAATCATTCTGATATCTGTAGCTCTCTCAATCTTTGTATCATCTGCAAACTTACGAATCAGACTTCCTGCATTCTCTTCCAAATCATTTATGTGTATTACAAACAACAGAAGTCCCATCACTGATCCCTGCGGAACAGCACTGGTTGCAGATCTCCAGTCAGGAAAATACTGTTTCACTGCTACTTTTTGTCTTCTATGACCAAGCCAGGTCTGTATCCATCTTATCAGCTCACAGCGGATCCCATGTGACTTCACTGTCTGTATCAGGCTGCCATGAAGGAGCTTGTCAAAGGTCCTGCTAAAGTCCATGTAGACAGCATCCACCACCCCTGCCCTCAATCATCTTTGTCACTTTCTCAAAAAATCCAATCCAGTTTTGTGAGTTACGATCTGCCCCATACACTGCCATACTACCTATTGCTAATAAGCCCATCTTTTTCCAAATGTGATTAAATCCTGTCCCTAAGAATCTTCTCCAATAACGTCCTGACCGATAGTAGTATCTTGTCGAATGCCTTTGGAAAATCCAACTGCAGGCTTTCTTTTTTCCATAGCCCATGTTATTCCTTCGAATAATCTAATTAATTAGTTAAACATGATTTTCCTTTCACAAAACCATGCTGACTCTTCTAGATTATTGTGAGTTTTCAAGATTCTTAATAATTGATTTTGGCACCTCATCGAGAATAGCCATGGCAATGATCATAGCAAAATTCTGTGGATGCTGGAAATCTGAAATAAAAACAGGAAGTGCTGGAGAGACTCAGCACCTCTGGCAGCATCTTCAGAGAGATTAACATTTTCAATTCAGTATGACCCATCGGAACTGAAGAAGGGTCACACTGGGCTCTGAACATTAACTCTGCTTTTCTCTCCACAGATGCTGTCTTATCTTCTGAGTTTCTCCACTTCCTGGTTTTAGTTCAGATGTCATGTAAACTGGCCTATTGATTCTTCATTTCTGCCACCCTGCTTTCTTGAATGGAGGATTTATGTTTGTTGCTTTCAAATTTGATTAAATCTGTCCAGAATATCGCAATATTTATCATCAACGCATCTACTACCACAATAGCGACCTCTTTTAAGACGTTAGGATGAATTTCATCAGGACCTGGGGATTTGTCAGCCCACAGTTCCACCAATTTGCTCATTACAACTTCCCCAGTGTTTGTAATTTCACCAAGTTCTCAAATCCTATCACCTCCTGATTTACATGTTTTACTGGGATGCTTTTTTATCCTGTACAGTGAAAGCAGAAATGTTAGTCTGGATCTGCAGATTACTAGTCCAATAACATAACCAGCAAGGAGAATATTAACATTGTAACAAGTACGAGTTGCTCATTCCTCAGAACTGTCATGCACCTCCTGAATAACTGAGTGTTCAGCCTAATTTCTTAAAGATTTGTTTTTGCTAGCCATGTTGGCCTTCATTGCCCGCCCCCAGTTTCCTCTGAGAAGGAAGTAGTGGATCTTTTTCTTGAATCGTTGCAGTTTGCTGCTGGTGTCCTGACAATGCTGATAGGTAAAAAGTACACTATTTTAACTCAGGCCATGAAGAAGTAGCAATGTATGTCCGGATCTTAACAGATGGCCGCTGCATACTGTATGAAAATAATCAAGAAAGTAGTATTGTGTGTCTTACCCCAAGTAAATTCAAGATGTGGAATTTGTACTTGCACCTGAAGGCAAGAAAATGATCTTCATTTTATTTTGGAAAGTTTGATAGTTTACAGATAGTAAGAATTGCTGATGCTGGACTTAGAGATAACGCAG